AATAATAATGGGCAACAGAATACTTACAACGCTGAAATATGACCTCACAGTATCCCCTCCACTGAGTGTGGTGAGGATACTGTTAAGTTTTTAGTCAGCTCACATGTCAAGAAATTTTTTTTAGAGTTACTTGTCAGGGAAAGGGGACTTTTATCTACATAATTAACTTTAACCTAGACAAACGTCATCCAACCAAGAATAACACTTTATAGTTTTTGAATAATTTCAAGCGTGCAGAAATGCAAGGCGGTAAATCGTCGAATAATGTATGCTCTTATCAGAGAACAGGAAGCCAGCGAGTATATAACTATATTATAAAATTAATTTTTAATGGATGAAAACAAAACAGACTTAACTTTATTACTGTTTTATTTTTTATATTGTTTCTGTTTTGTTAGTCTTGTTTTGGTTGTTTTACTTTCATGTTGATGGTGTTGCTGCTATATCTACCTCGAGTTCATTACCCTTGCACCTTATTCAGCTATCAAAATTTTGGGGCCCAGTCTCTAGACCCATTATGTACCTCTGTAATCTGTAAATACCTTTGTAACTTGTCATGATTGTGACCATATCTACCTGGAGTTCATTACCTTTGTAACTTGGTCAGCTATCAAACTGGGGTCCAGTCCCTGGACCCATTATGTATCTCTGTAATCTTTTGACTACCACCCACAGGATGGGTATGGTGTGCATAATAAACATATTAAACTAACTAACAACTTGCTTGGTATGAACTATAAGTCTTTCAGGGGTCACTCAGTATTTTTTAATCCCTTCCAGTGAATTGCATTTAATCTCCCTTGCCTTACATCAAACCTAATTACCTCTAATTACCCAGGTGGTGTTTACCTGGAGTTTACCTGGAGAGAGTTCCAGGGGTCAATGCCCACCGTGGCCCAGTCTGTGACCAGGCCTCATGGTGGATCAGAGCCTGATCAACCAGGCTGTTACTGCTGGCTGCACGCAATCCACTGTACGAGCCACAGCCCGGCATGTCAGGTACCGACTTTAAGTGCTTGTCCAGTGCCTGCTTGAAGACAGCCAGGGGTCTATTGGTAATCCCCCTTATGTATACTGGGAGGCAGTTCAACAGTCTTGGCTCCTACATATTTAGTTATTTCCTATTATTATAACAGTATTAATAAACACTTACATACTTAACCTTACTGTACACAAGGTGAAAATCTTGAATAACAATACCTGTGCATTGCGGAGAAAATAGGTTTGTATAGGTGTTAAATCCAGCCAGGGTAGTCTCTCTTCAGATACATGTGTAGGTGGCAGATATACATGTACAGCTTGACGCTTCTTGCGGGGTGTTAGGCTGGTGTCACCCTCAGAGGTTACTGACCGCCTCCGGCGAAACACTCTGGCTTCAGAATCTTGAAAATAAAGCAGTATAACAGAATTTTTTCTATGGAAACAACAGTTTAAAGAATAAGTCACAATACCATGGCTGGAGCAATTCACAACCCACAAACTGGGGATGAAACTCAAACACTTGGTTCCAGTCTTGACCATTATCTTTCAAGTTGAAGGTCCAGAACAGACTGAGAAGCTATCTATGCTTTAAATTCAATTTGTGATTATAGTACTACGAATACTATGTATTACTGTAAATTATAAAACTTGTAATTTACTGAAAAAAGTGATTTAGTTAGAAAAAATCCCATTTTATAGCTTGGTATGAAGGCATTACCCAAGATATCATTACATTGCTAGGTAACTACTACGATTTTTCCTAGTGGAGAAGAGGTTTACATCTGGAAGATCCCTGCATAGTATATGGGGGCCAAAACACCTGGTGAAGTTCACACTTGTGGAAGACTGAGAGGCATCATCATAGATAAGCCACAAAAACGAAGAGGCACCGTGGAAGAAAGGAAAGGAGAAGGTGAATCCAATAGAACTCTCCGAATGCTATCACGCTTCCCGTGTTGTTGAAGACTAGGGATAGACACGTGATACACAGGATAGTCAATCTAGGCATGTGAAGGCCTGTTCAAGTAAATACCAATAAGGACATTACGCTCCCAAGATTCCATCAAGTAAATACCAATAAGGGCAAGATTCCATCAAAGGCGGAATCTTGGGAACGTAATGCGTCGACATAACAGTGCACATTGAAGTTATATGAAAGGATAGCCAAATTGGGTAGAGGTCAAATTTTAAGGAAATGGGCCAACGAAACTTGCAGGGAGGGCACAAAAGCTGTTCGGCAGCAGTTTGAATAGGCATTCCGACTGAAATACATCCCCAGATTCTTGGACAGGCAGTAATTTATAAAAAGTTGCCAGCAGGGAGCCAGTGGTAACATCCTTGGTAATGCTTAGAGCTGCTGGATGAATAAGTGGTTAGCTGTGCTGGCAGGTCTCCCATCAGGAAAAATGCAAGGAAACACAACCACTGACCGAGAAGTAGATGCCACCAGAGACTGTGAGGTGGTAAGTGTAGACCCAGGTTAATTCCGAGAAAACGAAACTTTAAAAAAATAGATAAGGGATGCTTAAGTGGTTGGTGGGCCAGTGAAAAATCAACACTGCTGGCAGACTGTATGACCCCATAACGGGCATACAGATGTCAGCCCTGGAGTACTTAAAGGTATCCATTTTAACAGCTGGGCACTCCATGTATAGGGGACCGTGAGAATACAGCCTGTATGTCTAGCCGGATGACAGAGCAAATAAATGATCATCAAAACAGTGGAAGTCTTCCTCGTTAAGCGAGGTCCATAATAGTTGCCAGTAGGTGGGCAGGCTCCTCCAGGGAGGCTCCTTGATGCCGGTGAAGGGCTCCTGATCTAAGGAAATGGATCTGTGCTTCCTTACAATAGACTGAATGCCTCTCATTCCTCCAGGCGCTGTATGACCCCTACAGGTTTAGCGCTCCCCCATGAATGTAATAGTAACTACACCAACAGGCAGAATAATGGACGCTAGAGGAAGTAATGGGCACGCAGATGAGAGGTGGGGACAAATAATTCAAGTCATATATAGTAGTTACACGGATGTTATGCAGACACGTAGTTACCTCTAGCATGGTTCATGGAACCCCAGGCTGCTTTGCTTCTGTCATTACTGCACTGCGCTCTAGAACCCATACAGTGTTGGCGCTGGTTTTCCAATATAATAAAAAAAATGATCAACCATCTCTTCTGATTTGTTTTTAACAGAAAAAGCTAAAATGCTTTGTATATAACTTCTCAGTATCCCATGGTAGTCTTTGTGACCAACGGTGAACAAACTCCGGTAAGAGTGCACATGGCCAACGGTGAAGGAACTCCAGCACTCCAGTAACAGTGCACATGACCCACTGTAAAGGAACTCCAGTAACAGTGCACATGACTAACGGTGAAAGAATTCCAGCACTCCCATAACAGTGCACATGAATCACTGTGTACGAACTCTGGTAACAGTGCACATGACCAACGGTGAAGGAACTCCAGTAACAGTGCACACAATTCACAGTGAAGGAACTCCAGTTACAGTGCACATGACCAACGGTGAAGGAACTCTGGTAACACTGCACACAACCCACAGTGAAGGAACTCCGGTTACAGTGCACATGACCAATGGTGAAGGAACTCCAGTACTCCAGTAACAGTGCACATGACCCACAGTGAAAGAACTCCTGCACTTCCATAACAGTGCACATGACCCACGGTGAAGGAATTGAGCACTCCAGTTACAGTGCACATGGCCCACGGTGAAGGAACTCCAGCACTCCAGTGACAGTGCACATGACCCATGGTGAACGAACTCTGGTAACAGTGCATATGACCAACGGTGAAGGAACTCCAGTAACAGTGCACATGACCCACAGTGAAGGAACTCCGGTTACAGTGCACATGACCAATGGTGAAGTAACTCCAGTACTCCAGTTACAGTGCACACGACCCACAGTGAAGGAACTCCAGCACTTCCATGACAGTGCACATGGCCCACGGTGAAGAAATTGAGTACTCCAGTAACAGTGCACACGACCCACGGTGAAGGAACTCCAGCACTCCCATAACAGTGCACACGACCCACGGTGAAGGAACTTTGGTAACAGTGCACATGACCAACGGTGAAGGAACCCCAGTAACAGTGCACATGACCCACGGTGAAGGAACTGAGCACTCCAGTAACAGTGCACACGACCCATGGTGAAGAAACTCCAGCACTCCAGTAACAGTGCACATGACCCACGGTGAAGGAACTCCAGCACTCAACTAACAGTGCACATGACCCACGGTGAAGGAACTCCAGCACTCCAGTAACAGTGCACATGACCCACGGTGAAGGAACTGAGCACTCCAGTAACAGTGCACACGACCCATGGTGAAGAAACTCCAGCACTCCAGTAACAGTGCACATGACCCACGGTGAAGGAACTGAGCACTCCAGTAACAGTGCACACGACCCATGGTGAAGAAACTCCAGCACTCCAGTAACAGTGCACACGACCCATGGTGAAGAAACTCCAGCACTCCAGTAACAGTGCACATGACCCACGGTGAAGGAACTGAGCACTCCAGTAACAGTGCACACGACCCACGGTGAAGGAATTCCAGCACTCCAGTAACAGTGCACACGACCCATGGTGAAGAAACTCCAGCACTCCAGTAACAGTGCACATGACCCACGGTGAAGGAACTGAGCACTCCAGTAACAGTGCACACGACCCATGGTGAAGGAATTCCAGCACTCCAGTAACAGTGCATATGACCCACGGTGATGGAACTGAGCACTCCAGTAACAGTGCACATGAGCCACGGTGAAGGAACTCCAGCACTCCAGTAACAGTGCACATGACCCACGGTGAAGGAACTGAGCACTCCAGTAACAGTGCACACGACCCATGGTGAAGGAATTCCAGCACTCCAGTAACAGTGCACATGACCCACGGTGAAGGAACTGAGCACTCCAGTAACAGTGCACACGACCCATGGTGAAGAAACTCCAGCACTCCAGTAACAGTGCACATGACCCATGGTGAAGGAACTCCAGCACTCAACTAACAGTGCACATGACCCACGGTGAAGGAACTCCAGCACTCCAGTAACAGTGCACATGACCCACGGTGAAGGAACTGAGCACTCCAGTAACAGTGCACACGACCCACGGTGAAGGAACTGAGCACTCCAGTAACAGTGCACATGACCCACGGTGAAGGAACTGAGCACTCCAGTAACAGTGCACATGACCCACGGTGAAGGAACTCCAGCACTCCAGTAACAGTGCACATGACCCACGGTGAAGGAACTGAGCACTCCAGTAACAGTGCACATGACCCACGGTGATGGAACTGAGCACTCCAGTAACAGTGCACATGACCCACGGTGAAGGAACTGCAGCAACACAACACTCACGTCACACAGTGAAGGAACTCCAGCAACACAACACACATGACATAGTGAAGGAACTCCAGCAACACAACATACATAACACAGAGTGAAGGAACTCCAGCAACACAACATTCACGTCACGCAGTGAAGGAACTCCAGCAACACAACATACATGACACGGTGAAGGAACTCCAGCAACACAACACACATGACATAGTGAAGGAACTCCAGCAACACAACATACATAACACAGAGTGAAGGAACTCCAGCAACACAACATTCACGTCACGCAGTGAAGGAACTCCAGCAACACAACATACATGACACAGGGTGAAGGAACTCCAGCAACACAACACTCACGTCACGCAGTGAAGGAACTCCAGCAACACAACATACATGACACAGAGTGAAGGAACTCCAGCAACACAACACTCACGACACGCAGTGAAGGAACTCCAGCAACACAACACTCACATCATGCAGTGAAGGAACTCCAGCAACACAACATACATGACACAGAGTGAAGGAACTCCAGCAACACAACACTCACGACACGCAGTGAAGGAACTCCAGCAACACAACACTCACATCATGCAGTGAAGGAACTCCAGCAAACACACACACATGACACGAGTGAAGGAACTCCAGCACACAACACACATGACACAGTGAAGGAACTCCAGCAACACAACACACATGACACAGTGAAGGAACTCCAGCAACACAACATACATGACACAGTGAAGGAACTCCAGCAACACAACATACATGACACAGTGAAGGAACTCCAGCAACACAACACACATGACACAGTGAAGGAACTCCAGCAACAACATACATGACACAGTGAAGGAACTCCAGCAACACAACACACATGACAGTGAAGGAACTCCAGCAACACAACACACATGACACAGAGTGAAGGAACTCCAGCAACACAACATACATGACACAGAGTGAAGGAACTCCAGCAACACAACATACATGACACAGAGTGAAGGAACTCCAGCAACACAACACACATGACACAGTGAAGGAACTCCAGCAACACAACATACATGACACAGAGTGAAGGAACTCCAGCAACACAACACTCACGACACGCAGTGAAGGAACTCCAGCAACACAACACTCACATCATGCAGTGAAGGAACTCCAGCAACACAACACACATGACACAGAGTGAAGGAACTCCAGCAACACAACACACATGACACAGTGAAGGAACTCCAGCAACACAACACACATGACACAGTGAAGGAACTCCAGCAACACAACATACATGACCACAGTGAAGGAACTCCAGCAACACAACATACATGACACAGTGAAGGAACTCCAGCAACACAACACACATGACACAGTGAAGGAACTCCAGCAACACAACATACATGACACAGTGAAGGAACTCCAGCAACACAACACACATGACAGTGAAGGAACTCCAGCAACACAACACACATGACACAGAGTGAAGGAACTCCAGCAACACAACATACATGACACAGAGTGAAGGAACTCCAGCAACACAACATACATGACACAGAGTGAAGGAACTCCAGCAACACAACACACATGACACAGTGAAGGAACTCCAGCAACACAACATACATGACACAGAGTGAAGGAACTCCAGCAACACAACACACATGACACAGTGAAGGAACTCCAGCAACACAACAACATGAACAGAGTGAAGGAACTCCAGCAACACAACACACATGACAGTGAAGGAACTCCAGCATACACAACACACATGACCCAGAGTGAAGGAACTCCAGCAACACAACACACATGACACAGTGAAGGAACTCCTGCAACACAACACACATGACACAGTGAAGGAACTCCAGCAACACAACACACATGACAGTGAAGGAACTCCAGCAACAACACACATGACACAGTGAAGGAACTCCTGCCAAACAAACATACATGACACAGTGAAGGAACTCCAGCAACACAACACACATGACAGTGAAGGAACTCCAGACAAACAAAACACACATGACACAGTGAAGGAACTCAGCAACACAACACACATGACACAGAGTGAAGGAACTCCAGCAACACAACACACATGACAGTGAAGGAACTCCAGCAACACAACACACATGACACAGAGTGAAGGAACTCCAGCAACACAACACACATGACACAGTGAAGGAACTCCAGCAACACAACACTCACGTCACGCAGTGAAGGAACTCCAGCAACACAACATACATGACACAGAGTGAAGGAACTCCAGCAACACAACACTCACGTCATGCAGTGAAGGAACTCCAGCAACACAACATACATGACACAGTGAAGGAACTCCAGCAACACAACACTCACGTCACGCAGTGAAGGAACTCCAGCAACACAACATACATGACACAGTGAAGGAACTCCAGCAACACAACACACATGACACAGTGAAGGAACTCCAGCAACACAACATACATGACACAGTGAAGGAACTCCAGCAACACAACATACATGACACAGTGAAGGAACTCCAGCAACACAACACTCACGTCACGCAGTGAAGGAACTCCAGCAACACAACATACATGACACAGTGAAGGAACTCCAGCAACACAACATACATGACACAGTGAAGGAACTCCAGCAACACAACATACATGACACAGTGAAGGAACTCCAGCAACACAACACACATGACACAGTGAAGGAACTCCAGCAACACAACAAACATGACACAGAGTGAAGGAACTCCAGCAACACAACAAACATGACACAGATGAAGGAACTCCAGCAACCAACAAACA